AAGTTTATCAGGGGTGATCACCAGGATCTGGGGGAACATTTGTTCATCAGAGCGCCCGAAGGGATGATGAGGTCGAACGGTCATAAACTACTACGAGACCGTTTCAGGCTGGACATAAGGAAGAATTTCTTTACTGTCCAGGAAGAATTTCTTTACTGTCCAAGTCCTCAAGGTCTGGAACAGCCTGCCATCAGAGGTGGTTCAAGCACCTACATGGAACACCTTCAGGAGCAAATTGGATGCTTATCTTGCTGGGATCCTATGACCCCATCTGACTTCCTGCCCTTTGGGTGGGGGGCTGGACTCAATTATCTTGCAAGGTCCCTTCCAGCCCTAATGTCTATGAAATCTATGAAAGTTATCACCGTCATTGTGGTTCTAGTGACCTTCGTGCCCTCACTAGTACTTGTGCAGGGTTTGTGTAGTGTTCACAGCATTTCAAACCTTGGCTCTGAGTTACTCCTGCCAAACAATGGATTCATAGCATTAGGTTTCCCCAGGTTTGTCAGCAACCTGTTGAAGGACAAACTCCGTAAGCTTGCTAATGGGAACATTTAGGGGAGGCAAATCTGCCCTCCATGCCAGACTGAGTTGCCTTTCCAGATAGGATGCAGGTGTCTAAGATTCTGGCCCTGGTCCTCTGGTTGATTAACAAGGCCCTATGCCTAAAAGGAGTCCGCAGAATGCCACGTGGCTCTACATGACTGGATCAACTTGAAGGGCAAAGCCCTCAGGCAATTCCCTGCAGGCTCTGCTCACAGCAGCTGCTAAAGCTCCGTGCACTTGGGGCCGTGGTTACAGAGGAAAAGAAGGAAAGTTACATTTTCAAACTTTTTGACGTAGTTGTAGGTCAGGACGTCAGCTTCCTGGAGATCCACCTCAGGGTCCAGCGGCGCACCCACCAATGTCTTCCAGAATGAGGGCAGGAGGTCCAGGGGGAGAGGAACATCTGCTCTAATCGCAATGCCCAGCAGCTGCCCAAAGAAGTGAAGCAACTGCTCTTCCGCATAGGTGATGGGGCTGGGCGTCAGAATATACTTCCCCTTGAAAAACAAACAGACACATGTTTCAACACCCAGCCCTGCAGGCGGCTGCGCCCACACAGCATGACATAACAGAGAAAC